CTAGGAATCAAGCTGATCTTTGTCGGTCGGCAAAACCTCTACTGTGATCCTTCCAAACAATTGACTCTTCAATCTGTGGGTTGATTTTCTGAAAACCTTGAGATCCATCATGCTGCCAAAATGAACCTTCTTTTCATTTCATTTCAATGCTTACTGGCTTCCCTCAGCTGAGAAACCTTGGTCACTGTAAAACACACTTGCCCTTCTGCAGTCTCAAGCCCTTGGTCAGTGAACACAATCTCCAAGCTAATGTTCCTTGACTAAGTGGAGGGTGAGGTGGAAAACTAGCCAAAGGCATGGGAGATGCACACAAGTCTCCTTTTCTTCATAATGACCTGCACGTGCCAGTTGGGAACGAGGACATCCGGTTTCTGCTGTGCCCTCTGGTGATCTCACTCATAGTAGCACTAGATCAAATTAATTAACTCGCTCTTTAGATTTAGCTCTAGACTAACACTAATGCCTGTGCCAGCAAAGGCCATTGTGCTCTAAGAGGCCAATCGTGCCCTGAGGAGAGCTTAAGTTATTCCTTACCTTTGTGCAGAGCCTCATCAAACTGGGGGGAACCTAAAGTAACTTTAGTGCTAGCCATGTGGGAGCCTCTTCTTTTGAGCTGGATCCCTTGCAGCTGTGTCTCATGTGGACGGAGTCAAACGCATGTGACTTTGCTATGGGATCTAAATGGGGTTAGTTTATTAAATTCAGATGTCCCACGTATAGTCCACTGATCTCTTGCTGTTGGATGTTAAGAACATAAGGGAAGCCAATTTTGGATTAGGCCAATGGCCCATCTAGTCCAACACTCTGTCACACAGTGGTCAAAAATACTAGGTGCCATCAGGAGAATGGCCCAAAAATACCAGGTGCCATCAGGAGAATGTTAATGGGAGAAGGCACCATGTGATCAGTCCTCATGAAAGAGCACACAGGGTTTTTTGTGTCTTGCATTGAGCCTCACTCTGAGTTTAATTTCATTCACTGCTAAGACCACATCATCTCCCTGGCTTTGTCTGTTGCTCTTCTTTAAATTGATGCATTGCCACATGCATTTCTTTTAGATCTTGGCAGACATTTGCAGAATCTTTTGAAAGTTTTTAAAAAATGGGTAGCTCAGCCCTGACTTGGATAGCCCAGGCAAGCCTGATCAGATCTTGGAAGCTAAGCAGGGCCGACCCTGGCAAGTACTTGGAAGGGAGACCTCCAAGGAATATTAGGGCCAGGACACAGAGGCAGACAATATTAAGGCACCTCTCTGAAACATCCAAGCTGCACTAGGGGTCGCCAGAAGTCAGCCATTACGTCCAGGCACACACCAAAAAAAATTGCAATTTTTTAAAAAATGGGTAGATTCAGGCCAGTGCATTTTGTCTTCAAAGTCGTTTGTTCAAGGTGCGGTCTTCACTGGTGGTTCCGCAGCCCAAGTAATGGAACAAATACAAACCAGAAGTTCCATGGTAGCTGAAGGGGAGGGGGATAGTGTGCTAGAGATACAGTGTTGAGGGTGTTGAAGGAGATGGGACACTGGAGTTCCATCTCAGCTCCTCCCCTGTATTTTTTCCTTGTAAATAGCTTCTTCATGGAGTCTCAGTTCAGATTGGAACAGGGTGGGAGGAGAATGTAACCATGTCCCAGCCTGAGTCAGCTGTGTTCCACAAGTCTTTCACAGGTTGATAGAAGTACACAGGAGAAAGTCCTGACTGAATCGCAGTCCTGATCCAGTTCTCCTCCCCGTTCCCACGACCATCATGGCTTCTATTTTCAAAGAGAACAACTTGGTGAAGAGGGTGACTTTGGATAGAGATTTTGAGCCTCAATCACTGCTCCCCCAGCACTTTGACCTTTCTAATCAACACCTGCACCATGCTCTATGCCATGGCCCTTACAAACTGATGTGGATTCCTGTGACTGCATACCATCCACAGCTGAGCCACTGTTACAATTAAGGGTTCCTTCTCTAAATGGTGTAGTGGTTAAGTGTGCGGACTCTAATCTGGGAGAACCGGGTTTGATTCCCCACTCCTCCACTTGCACCTGCTGATGTGACCTTGGGTGAGTCACAAGCTCTGGCACAGCTGTCCTTGAAAAAGAGCAGTTTGTGTCAGAGTTCTCTCAGCCCCACCCACCTCACAGGGGTGGGGAGAGGAAGGGAAAGAAGTTTGTAAGCCGCTCTGAGACTCCAAGTGAAGGGCGGGATATAAATCCAATCTCTTCTTCTTCTAAAAGGACACTTCCCATATTCCTGGCTGTTTGCAGAGCTTGAGGGTATAGAAAGCGGCCAGTTTGATGCCTCCCTAAGTTGCTGTGATCCCATGAATTGTCTGTGCGCCTTTTTACACTTTCACCTTTTAGCACTGATGATGGCAGATCACCATTCCTGGCAATTCCGTGTAGTGTTGGAGTCTTTTGTTTGCTTAAGAGATTGCACTTTTTTAATTAAAAAGTATTTAGTAAGCGTAATATATATATTTGCAGCTGTTTTTAAAAATATTTGTTTTTCCACCTGTGCTTTAATATGAATTTAAGCAAGGAGTTTTGGGGGTTTTTTGTGGGGGGGATAATTAAGAAAAAAAATAAGCAACAGTGTTTCAGTTCTACGAAACATTTGCAGCTCATTGCTATTCACTTGAGTCTTCCTTTTCCCCCTGTGCTCATGATGATCATATTTGTTTTTTTAAAAGTCATTTTGTTTGTTCTTTATGGGGAAAAAAGAGAAAAATGTTTTTAATTTTTTTTGCAGGCTATGTAAGCATGTTTTTTCCTGTGGGAGCTCGCTCGCTTGTGTGTGTGTATGTTTGTTTTAATGAATGTCATATGTAAATGCTTCAAAGAAATGACATTGAACATGGAATTAACTTACCGCAGTGACTTGATGCTCTAAAGGAAAAATTATTTAAAAAAACAACCATGTAGAATTTACTACTAGCTGGATTTTAACCCTTGGATTTGTGCTTGTGAAGGAGCTGTAAGTGCTAAACTGATCATGTGTGTAGGCAAAGAAAGTCCTGAGACTGGACCATTCTCCCAGTGGTGCAAATAATGGCATAAAATGAGTCTTGTGTTTTTTCTTCCTTACAAACTCTGTGTTATATTACTATGGGAACTCCTAATAAAGACAAAATGTTGTTGTTTCAGTTGGAGTGTCTGTGTGCCTTGGCGATCGGTGCTGTGTGTCAATCTGTAATCTCTGTACATGGTACATATGCTTGAAGCGGCCTTATACTGATTCCTACCATTGGTCTGTCTAGCTCAGCATTGCCTGCTCTGGTAGGTTCTCAGGAAGAAAGGTATTTCCAAGCTTGATATGCTGGGGGTGAACCTGCGGCCTTCTGAATGCAAAGTCACTGCAGGGAAATCCTTATTTTCTTGCATTCTGTAAACTCAGATCAATTATCCTGGCTTTTATTGCCCCCAGCCCAATCTCCAGTACATACCTTATTTAAGTGAGAGTGCAATAAATAAAATCATTCCATGTTTAGTGGTGGAGGATTGGGCTCAGTTCTGTTGTTCCTTTTTCAGTTTCAATGTGAAGAATACCCAGTTCTTGACTTTTTTGGATGAAGCTGGTGTCGAAACTTTCAGGCTGAGGCTCTCTTACCTGACAGTCCTTGAGATGCCAGGGATTGAAACTGGTACCTTATGCATGCAAATACGACTGACTCCAGCATCACTCCTAACCACTGAGCCTTGGCCATCCCAGCACATTGGTGTATGACAGTTGACTATCCATGGCACAATGTTGGAAAATGTGGCAATGGACCCAGTTAGGCCTCTGGTGGGATGACGCAATGGATGAGTTTCCTTGGAAGGAAGTAGGATTTGTTACTTTAAAAGGTCTGCATTGAGAGGCAGAAAAAGAAGGCTGCCAAGATTAAGCAGAATTACGTATCACAAGTTATGGGACCTCCATCAAAACTTGCATACCCTTTGTTAAGTAGTCCTCCAAGAACAAGGGAGAACTTACTACATATTGTGATGTCATGTATTTTCCCCCTCCCCCTCTCAGCCAATGCTATAGAATGGAGTGAAGAAATCACAAAACAGGCTGGTTGTGAGAGATGAAATGAGTTAACCCCATATACAGCACAGTGAGGTCTTTGGAGGAAAAGTGGGATATTCACGTGTCAGATTCTGTGACAAAGAATATGGTAGCAACCTGAAAACCAAGTGTAACATGAAGTTGTGCCTGAGCATTAGATTGAAACCTTGCAGCACATTGATTTAAATGTGTCAGTTTATAGTGCATAAGCTGTCTATCCAGGGAACTACAGTCCTTTGACTCTCCCTG